GTTTTCACTTTTTTCAGTGGCGCCTCTTTAGTCTTATGCTCCTCCTTCTCCATCGTCTTCTTTACCTTCTTGTCCTTCTTAACAACACATTAAATTGGCAAACCATCATGTGAACTGATCTTCTTCTCAACATTCCATGACTGAATCATAAAAAAACTTCATGAGTAATAATTTAAAGGAAAACATAGAACAAGAAATAATAAGATCTTACCAAGTCATTGCTTGAAGCATCATCATCTTTGTACGCCTTGGAATTTCCTGAGTTTGAGGAGGCCACACCTTGATGAATGTTTACGTCAGCCTTGTTCTTAAAAAACTTCACATCTTCTTCCAAACTTGCAATCTTCTTTAGAAACTCATTCTTAATAGAACCCACTGTAGCATCCACCTTATCTTGTATGGTACTTTCTAAATTTTTACTAACTTTCTCAGCTACCCTAACATCCATGCCTTCTATTTTTTCAGTGAGTTTGGAAAGCGACTCAACTAAGCCAAGTATAGCAACTTTGTGAGCTGCGAACTGCATTCCAACACCGAACCATGTCAGTGACAAAATAAATATAGTGTTTCTATCATTAATTGAAGGAAATTGCTCTTCATACCATATCAGATGCTTCACCTCCATGAGCAGGTTGTTTTCCCTTATTTCGCTTAGTAGAAGGACTGCCATTGGGAATAACAGATGGGGCAGCACCAAATTTTATCTTCTCGGCTGATTTGGTAGTTGGAGTGACATCCCAAAACTGCTCATTTAGCTGACCAGCGACGATGTCTTTTATCAAGTTGTCGAGCTCAGTCTCGAATTCATCATTTGCCCAATTTGGATATCTTTCATCCATTGGCTTCATCACCATATGCTTCACACGAACCTGCACAATAATATACACGACAACATTGTGCATTACTACTAGTTACTTGATTTTGGTCTAAGTAGTGTCTTTATCAATCGAAACAATTTTTTAAATCACAAATTCTCTACGAAAAAATAAAAGAAAATTATGAAGATAAGAGCGAGATTGTGTACCTTATGATGCTGTATTTTTCATGATCACAGAAATCTTGGAAGTTTATACGCGCACGAGATGCCTTCCATGATAGAAAAGGAACATCAGCTCCTTCTATCCGATTCCCATATTTTTCTCCTATACAAGGGACGAATTCATAAATCCATATCAAGAGGGCGTGAACACAACCACGAACTGTGTAACTCTTCTCTTGTTGAAATGTGATCATTTTAATGGATCGAACAAGGCTACTAAATCCAATCCGACCCCATGGATATCGCTGGAAAGCTGCTGTGTTCATAACTCTTTTAGCACAATGCAAAGGAAGTCTGCTGTTCTTTGAAATGCCAAATATTCCAATGCTTAGCAGACCCAACAAACCGACCATCACTCTCTTCTCTCGAGACCAGTTTCTGCACTTCACCAATATCGCTTGTAACTCTGTCAATGTAGGTCCTTCTGATGGTGAAACATTCATTTCTAGCCAAAACTCTCGATGGTCAACATCCCAGACGTCATGGTGGTCGAAAGCATCACAGTTTAGACCTGTAATCTCTCCAAACTCGTATAAGGAGAAACGTAATGGCATACAATCTAACAAACACCAAATCTCATACAAGCTCTTGATTGCTCGTTGATTGGCAAGGAAATAATGCACAGCTTTCGCAGACCAAATATATTCCATCTCCTTCAGCTTAACAATAAGTCCAACAGCTGATTCCCTCAACTCAGCCCAAGCATCTTCCCCAACAGCTTCTTCAAACGCTTGAAGATTGACCAGAAAACAACTATGGTTCATGCTCCTATTCTGAATCGGGGTTTTTCCAACTTCATATAGATGTGGCGGATACTTTCTCCTAGTCTCCGAAGAAGAAGCCATACCTAAAAAACAGAACAACCTAATAAGTAAAACTCTTGTTCAACATAATCTTTTTATAAAGCAATTAGAACTTTGAATCTACAAACTTTCACAATCAGTAACAAGAAAAAAAACAATCTCTTATAAGAAAAATAAACGATGGAGTTTTTGGGAAAAATTGGAATTTAGGGTTTTCGAAATCAAACATGCAATTAAGCTATAATTTAGTTAGAAACGAGTAAAGACAAATTCAAATTAGATAGATTACTCACTTAGAGCTTCAATTTTGCAGTATCACGGCGAATTGAAACAGAGCCGGTGAAGGAAGAACGACGGCGGGAGTGGAACGAGAGAGATGGGACAAAGGAGAGGAGAATGCGACGCAGTGGGCTTCTTTGGATGAGATGGTGTTGGAGTGATAGAAGAACGACGGCGAGACTTAAACGTGAAATCACCACGAATTGAAATAGAGGCGGTGAAGGAGACGCGGCATAGGAGATTCGATGGAGGAGGAGTAACGCCGGAGATGGGACAAAGGAAAGGAGAAGGCGGCGGAGGAGATTCGATGGTGTCGGAGTGATAGATGAACGACGGCGAGAATGGAAGTCACCCTCTTTGTCGTCCTTGTCGTCGTGAATGAGAGAGAGACCATAAAAAAAAACCTTTTCCCATTTATGTTTAATGTTTTATTTTCAGTATTTTGTTAATCATTTTTTATTTTCTACTTAATTTTGTTTTCTCGATTGCAAATTAGAAAAAGGTGTATTTAGTCAATTTGTTTGTCCGAAAATAGGGACTAGTATTTAAAATTTTATATGAGTCATTCTAGTCATTTGAAGATCAATTTGGGTCATTCCTAGTATCAGTTGATGGACTAATTTGTCTACATTATAATAATGCATGTGGATATGAAAATTAGGAGTATGAGATTGGACCAACCACGATCAGTTCAGGCGAGTGGGCTTGTCGGAATCTTTGTCGGAACTTTGAAACAAATATCCTTTGATCATTACATGTCTCATGGTCGTGATGTTAACAGCCTTCTCTACCATTCGGTACGTTTCTCTCTTATTTTTCTTCTTCAAATGTTTTTTTTTTGAAACGGAAAATTTTTCTTCAAATGTTTATATATAATTTGTTTCCTATGAATATTTTAACAAATAATATGTAGGTAGTAAAAATAAGTCACAACTGTAACTATAAGAAAACAAACATGAATATAGAGAGTTTTGTTTGATAGTATATCATAAACAATTTGTTAACTTGTTGAATATTATAAGTTTGGAACGAAATTGATTTCTTGTTTTTTTTGGTCTCTTGTCGGAAAAATAGAGTTTCGGATATATTTTTTTCTGTTGATAGAAAAAAAAAAAAGATATTCTTTTGTTGCTAAACTTATATAGTTGAAATTTCATGTTACTTTTAAAATATTCGAAATAGGTAGAATAGTATCAAGTAATGGTCAAGGTTTACCATTCTCATTTTAATTGCAGTTGAGTATGTGATTTATCAATATTTTCTTATAGTGGGGACATTGGCTGGAGAAATGGAAATTAGATGGAGATGAAAGATATGGAGAGCTCCTGGTGAAGATGATTATTCTAATGAAGAACAATGACCTAACTAACTTCTTCTCTCATTCCTCACTTCGTTCGTCTCTCAGAAATCATCAACCGAATCAATCTTATTGCCCAATACCTAAAGGTTAGTAATTTAATTAGTTGGTATTATAAATGACAAAGGCATTAAACAAATAATCATGTTCAATCTAATGCCAGAAGTCTTGGCTAATAACTATTCCAATGTGTTGTGTTGATATAAAAATAAACATCAAACCATCCTCCATAATTCATCATGTAAATCTGATGTCCAAGTCCATGACTTCTTTTCCATGTTGTGGACCAAGCCTATACATAATTTTGAAAATGATGTTCCATTTGATGTTACAACTACTTCAAATATAAGCACCAGATCATTCCTTTGATATTATTAACATTGTCTTAATGCAGACAAGGAGTAACGATGAGAAAGAGAAGACAATAAAGAGAAGACAATAAAGAGAATGGAAAATGAGATGGAGCAAATGGTTGAGTTAGTATTGTTGGAGGTTGACACATTCCGTGATGTCAGCATTACGTTTCTCGATGTAGCAAAAACTTTTTACTATTCTGCTTCATGTGGTGATCATCTCCAAACTCACATGGCCAAAATCTTGTTTCAAAAGGTTTTATAACCTCATCAGTATCTATCCATGCCGGTGGTATTTTCATTGTGTGATCAATTCATGAAAATATTGATTCTTGTATATATATAGGGTATGTGGAGAAGGAAAATATATAACTAAAATCATGTATAAGTCAAACATTGGAATAATACTTAGCTTCCATTTTCAATAGATATAAATGCTCCAGGAAACAACTTCTTGTAGACTCTCTATGATGTAAAGACTTGAGATTTAAACTCTGAGTCATTCAGTCAAAAAAAACTCTTTGGGTCCTTCATTTTCGTTCTTCAATTCTATTCTTTGGAACAGTCGTCTTCTTATCTTTTCTTTATATTTGGTGTTATACATCAAGGTTTGAACAGTGTGAATATTGGAAACGCGGAAACTCCTAACCATTATAGGTCACTAATAAAGATTTGACCAGGAAGAATTTTAATAGTATACTCTTGTTTTATTAAGTTGTTTTATAAACATTAGTTTTAGGGATCTCAATGTTTTCTTGATCATAAAGTCCTGTATTTATATTTATTTCGTGTAATTCTTCATTATATATATCTATATAGTGTGCGGCCATAATCTAAGTGCGATTTTGCAGAAGAAACATAGGCAGTGATGTATACTGGGGATAAGCATAATAGGATCCAAAGACCCATGCAGTTGTCATGTCAAAAAGACGCCGACTTTTCTAGAGATCAATTTGTTTTTGTATGTGTGTGTGCTTTTGGTTGTCGTCACTTGCATGCCTTTGAGAAAAAAAGATTTAGAACAATATCCACTTTAGAACACATGATCTTGATGACTAGGTTTTGTTCTCTTTTCTTTGGACATCAACACCCAACTTATTAACTAAGAAATTATCATATCTATTTAGATTCTCCTTGGATATAAAATAATATATAGACGACGATGAAATGAAAAGATAGCGTATATTGGTTAAATCCTTTAGATATTAAAAAAAATCAGATCTGCTAAGAATGAATCCTTAATAAAAAGAGGTTTAAGGATTAAATCCTTAATGAGGTGGCATGACGTCATTTTCTCCCTTTCTTCCCTTTCTCCTTCTCCCTCTCCTCTCCCTTCCAGATTCCAGAATCACCTCCTTCAAATCCACCTTCTCTGCTACGCCGATCCCCCTCCGTATGGTTCCGTAGCAACCTCCGCGCCCAGTTTCTGATCGAGTCCGTCTCTCATCGCGACTCCGCCTGTGATTTCTTCATCTGCAACGATCGGATGAAGGATTTGGCGTCAACAATCTTGAGAAACTAAAGATTTATACTTTTTTGTTTATTTGTAATATGTTCTTAGAGCTTAATTTGAAGTAGTAGTAGCTTAGTGATTCAGAGCAATTGAACATTCTGTAGAGGAAGAATATGTTATTAAGAAAGCTAGAATGGTTGGTAACGTAGAAGAGAACGAATCTGTGGTGGTTGTGAAAGAGACTTGTGTTGCTCCATCAGGTGTTGATGGAAGCGAGAATGGCCAAATAATTGTTGAAGAATGGGAGAAGAAGAAGATAGAGGACGTTTTAGTTGTTGATACAGAACATATGGATCTAAAAGAAACTCTGGAGTTAGAGGCAGTTTAATCTTTTAGGTGTCTGTATTTGTTAAGACTAGTACTGAAGGTGTTTACTGGAATTTGCTTGAAGGGAGAAGCTAAACTCGATGAATCTCCTCCTATACATGGCTCCCATTGCTGTTGTTTTCCTTCTTCCTACTACACTTATCATGGAGACGATTTTAGAATCATTTGGTATATGCTTTTCAATTCGGCCCTTGCTTATTTCATCAACTTGACTAATTTCTTAGTCACTAAACACACCAGCGCTCTGACTCTGCAGGTACCAATACATCCACATCCACCTTTGTTTAACTTTGCAGAAACCTCATCTTGTTATATTTGTTATGGATAGCAGTATTGGTCAAGCTGCGTTTGATCAATCTCAAGCATTTAAGCAAAGTGTTGCTGTGGGAGCTGTGATTATTACTAAGATGTATGGCCATACCAAGGGTGGTGGTGCTCTTAGCGCATAAGTAACCGTGTTAGTGTTGCACAAATGAAGCTGATGATGCTAGCCTAATGGCTGCAACAGTTTTGGTGATCCTCACGTTTAGATTTGTAAGCAATTAGAGATAATGGTGTTGCGTTTCATGGGTGTTCCTCCTCCTGTAATGTTTTTTCCCCATAGTTTTGTTTCTTCTTCGTTAATCCTAGAGTTTTAGGATTCAGTTTTGCTATTCTTTTCCTCAGTGATCAACCTTTGTATACCACTTTTAATTCAAAATACTTTCCTGTATTTTCTTAAACAAAAGAATAATAATATTACAGTTACATGCCATTATATTTACAGATTGTGATTAAGATCTTTGCAGCTTCATGTTCTTTTCCTCTGTAGCTTTTTTCAGGTAGTGGATGGTGGAGTCACTTACATAGCTTGTGGTTTTGGATGGCACGCTTATGCCAGAGTTTGGTGGCGTGGATCATGAAGCTTATCATGCCTAGTCCCATCGCGCCGCAATGGTGGATCAGCAAACAACTCAAAGTCAGATGAAATTCAAAGAAAGGAATGGAGAAAAAAAAGGATATGTATCTTTTATTAAGGACTAGGGTCGGCCCGGGCTACGCCCGGGATTTTTTTTTAAATTTAAATTTTGATGATTATATTTATATGTATATTTAATATTTATAGTGTAATGTAGTATATAAATATAAGTAGATATATAATTATAAAACTATTTTTAATTATTCTCTTTTTTGTTTCATTAATTTTGAATTTCAGTTTCAAAATGTTTTATATTTTTGGTATTGGAAAATCTATATATAAGGTGATGCCCAAAATACCCAAAAATTAATTAATTTTAGTTATGGTGTTTGATTGGTTGGACTATAGATATGTTTCATGTCACTCACAACCTTTTATAACTTTTGTTTCCATTTAGTGTCTAAATAATTTAAAGGACCATCTCCCTTCAAATCTACATCTTTATTTAATGTTTTTTTTTTCAAAAATCAGCAGTTTAAATGTTATAATATTGTCTACAAAAAAAAAACTTATAGTTACATCATTAAAAATTACAGACTAAATTTTTTCAACAATTTTTCCGCATTTATAGCCCAACTAAACGGACCCATAATCTAAATAGTCTTTTATCTAATTTACAGCCCAACTAATCGGACCCATAATCTAAATAATCTTTTATCTCGTTTATATAAGTTTTTTTTAATTAAATATTATAAAATGGACAACCAATTATAATTTTGTCTTAGTTTTAGAACCATTGAATTCATAACTTTCATGGGTATTTGAAAATTTGTCTTTTCAAATTTGTTGTTCCACTTGCTCTTACATCTACTTCGATGTAATTGCACCATCTCTCTTTATATATATATAGATATAATCATTTTTGAACATCTATACTATTATTTGCGAAGTGATTTTTCGCAACGGAGCTCCCACGTTAAAAGTTAAAGCGGTTAATATCGTTTATACCCTTAATGAATAAATAGAAATTTCAATATATAATTAAACATAAATAAAAAACGAATTTCAATGATTTTAGATTTATCTTTATCTAAAACTATTTTATATTAGGTTATAAAGTCTTTATTAACTTATAAAAATAATTATATTTTTAATATATAATTAATTATAAATTAAAAACAAATTTCATTTATTTGATAATTATCCTTATTTAAATTTTTTTATATTATGTTATAAAGACATTATCAACCTTGAAAAATAATTATATTTATTAATATATAATTAATTCTAAATTAAAACGAATTTCATGAATTTGATAATTATCCTTATCTAACTTTTTTATATTGTGCTATAAAGTCTTTATTAATCTTGAAAAATAATTCTATAATGTTATTTGTGAAGTGGTTTTTCGCAACGGAGCTCTCACGTTAAAAGTTAGAGTGATTAATATTGTTTATACCCTTGATGAATAATTAAAAATTTCAGTATATAATTAAACATAAATAAAAAATGAATCTATACTATTATTTGCGAAGTGATTTTTCGCAACGGAGCTCCCACGTTAAAAGTTAGAGCGGTTAAAATCGTTTATACCCTTAATGAATAAATAGAAATTCAATATATAATTAAACATAAATAAAAAACGAATTTCAATGATTTTAGATTTATCTTTATCTAAAACTATTTTATATTAGGTTATAAAGTCTTTATTAACTTAGAAAAATAATTATGTTTGTTAATATATAATTACGTATAAATTAAAGACGAATTTCATTTATTTGATTATTATCCTTATTTAATTTTTTTTATATTATGTTATAAAGACTTTATCAACCTTGAAAAATAATTATATTTGTTAATATATAATTAATTCTAAATTAAAAACGAATTTCATTTATTTGATAATTATCCTTATTTTTTTATATTATGTTATAAAGACTTTATCAACCTTGAAAAATAATTATATTTATTAATATATAATTAATTCTAAATTAAAAACGAATTTAATGAATTTGATAATTATCCTTATCTAACTTTTTTTATATTGTGTTATAAAGTCTTTATTAATCTTGAAAAATAATTCTATACGATTATTTGTGAAGTGGTTTTTCGCAACGGAGCTCTCACGTTAAAAGTTAGAGCGGTTAATATTGTTTATACCATTGATGAATAATTAAAAATTTCAGTATATAATTAAATATAAATAAAAAATGAATTTCAATGATTTGAGATTTATCTTTATCTAAAACTATTTTATATTGGGTTATAAAATCTTTATTAACCTTGAAAAATAATTATATTTGTTAATATATAATTAATTATAAATTAAAAATGAATTTCATTTATTTGATAATTATCCTTATTTATTTTTTATATTATGTTATAAAGTCTTTATCAACCTTGAAAAATAATTATATTTGTTATTATATAATTAATTCTAAATTAAGAACGAATTTCATGAATTTTATAATTATCCTTATCTATTTTTTTATATTGTGTTATAAAGTCTTTATTAACCTTGGAAAATAATTCTATTTGTTAATATATAGTTAATTATGATAAATCAGTTCACAAAGAATTTATGTATAGATAATTTATATTATGTTATCCAAAAAATTACTAAAGATAATTTTATTATACATTTTTTGTTATGTATAAAAATGATATTAATTATTACTAAATATTTTAAATTTATGAGTATTTTTAAAATTAATTTGTGCAATGAAAAATTATTTATATGATGATGAAAAATTTTATATTTAAAAAAAATTTGTTTAGTTTATCATTAAACTTTTTGACTCTATGAACAATAATTTATTATAATTTACTTAAATTGATTATATAGTTATTTATAGATATTATTAAAGTTATTAAGCCCGCAAGTGCGGGCAAAACACCTAATTGACTATAGTCGTATTATTATCTCAAAATTGGCTGTTGGCCTAAATAGTTATTACCAAAGTAAAACAAATTTCGTTGTGGCTTTTATTAACATACCAGTAAACCACTACTATGCAGGAGTAAAAACTACAACAGAAAAACATAAACGATTTTGGGTTTTATGCTTCTTCCAAGAAGCAATAAAGTAATTCACAATTAATAAAACCAGATGATACATGACGGAGCACCTCCAGGTGTTTAAGAAACGATACAAAGTATAACCAAATGAAAGGCAGAGAAACATCACTGAGAATGGAAAATCAGAGAATTCTTTTAACGGGTTATACAATTATGAAAAATGAGCAGGACCATAATATGAATCAGATTTACCTGTCGATTGTAATCGTTCCCATGACATGACAGAGCAACTCCAATAGAAAACGGTTAGTCATAAACAAAACAAATATTTTCTTTTAATCTGTAACATAAATGCAAAATCAAGAAATAATTTGAAACTTTTTTATTTTCAGTGAATGAAAGATACAAAAGAAAGGCTTCGTCAACATCAACAGAAACTTTTAGACTATTGGGATCAAATCAAAAATGCAAAAAAGAACAAAAATAAAAAAAAACATAAAACCTGATTTGGTAAACCAATTCGATTATAAAAAATAATAATTCGTATAGCTAAAAATTGATTCTGTTTATCTTCACGTCCAACCCAAAAAAAGCGTTGTGGTTTTCCTTAGCATTCTTCTTCTGCTTGTCTTGAACCAATTCAGGAAGCAGGAGACGTCGTTCACCTGCTCTGCTAAAGATCAGATCCACCACAGCTCTCAAGATTCTTCCTCGTCACAGTCTGAATCAACATCCTCACCAAATCATATGCTGCTGCTCTACGCCAATACCAGCATATGATTCCTACGTAAATTTGGAGCATTCATCTCAAAGCTCAAACCCGAGTCTAAGACATCAAAACTACTACCAAAAAGATTCCTTTTAACTTCATTAACCAATGAACCTGAGAGAGAAGTAGAGACGGCATCCAAATTAGTATCAGGCTCAAACATGTGAGTTGTGTTTGCGCTTTGAATAAATAAGGACTTACAGCCATGCACACGAATCCAAGCTAAACCCTTAAGTCTTCACCATTGTGTATAGACGATGGTCTCATAGAATAGTGGAGCTTCCTGGATCATTGATAAAACAAAGAACTATCAATATCATAAAGAAAGAACAATTGTTGTGGTTATCAACGTTGATTACTTAGCTGTTCATGTCAAGTTGCTTCAATCAATCACTGTTATGATTTGCTTGTCAACAGAAAATATATTGCCTGACACCGAATAAAAAAAAGCAACAACAAATATTAAGATCATGATCTTGTTAACCAAAAAATAAAACAAATCATAGTTATTAGATAACTGAGACATCTACTATGAAATCATGCATCATTCAAATAACAGTATCTAATTGCTACCAATCAAATGTTTATACTTATAAGAAACTCACAAAAATCAGTGCCTTTAAGAGGCTAGAGATGCAGAGTGGTAAATAGGATATACCTTCAAAGCCTTCTCTTTTAGATCTGGAAGTGTATCATTAGATGATTCATCAATGGCATTGACAAATCGCTAGAACCTACAAAACCATCAATAGTACGCTGTTTAGTAAACTACGAATCCAGAACAATTATAATACAATCACAGATATTGTAAAATTATAATACCTACAAAGTCAGGTGACAAATCTTTTGGCTGTTAATCTTCTGATTCATTACCTCTCTCCAGCCTAGGAAGAAGCACATGCCTTAACCGAACCGGATCCTCCGCAGTCATCAGTCGCCGCCGCCGCGAGAGATGTGTTCCATCAGTGTTTCTAAATCTTGCCTTTCTTCAAAACGTTCACTTGTTGTCTCTACCGAGTCTGCCACATAAAGACATTATAACCCAAATAGAGAGAATATGTGTTTATGCCACAGAAAATGAAAACCAAATCAGAAGTTTCATTGACCAGTCCTTCTCTCTCTTGGCACTGAAAAAAAGAAAGAACATCCTTCACAGGCAACATCTTTCACAGTTAGAAAAAACATGCAAAAGAGTTGTACCTTGCTCTGCAGAGAAGGAGATGTTCACTCACACGAATCTCTTTCTACTTGTACAACACTCTTCATAGCTCTCTATATCCAAATCAAAACAAATCAAATTTACAAACTTTGAAGCAGATCATGATTCATGTGGTCAAGCTCAAGAAAGCCACCTGTTACCGCCAAACAATGAGCCCATCCAGGTTCAGATTTCTGTACACAAACCTCAGGAGGCAGAGGAAACGGCTATGGAGACTCCTACAAAAGAGGAACTCTACTAAAAACTCATAATCATAGAACAATCAAATTAGAACACAAGCATACGAAGAAAGGTTAGTGAAAAGCTTACACCGTGCTTCCCTGATGTGACATAGCTTTGACCTAGATCATCCGTCGAGCCCCATGTGATCAGCTTCCATGATTCTGATTAACACTCGAGTAATCAAATACAAAACCATCTTACTGTAATTCCGATTTAACTATCAATTGCAAACTGATGAATCGTTCTATGAACCTAGATAAGAAGAGTGAGGGCGATGTGTTTTATTACGGAAGCTGGTGTGTTTACATTCCAATTTTAATACTGTGCCAGAATGAGTTATAAACTAAAGGTATAAATGATAGGTCTTTTCGAAGTCAACCACAAAACTAACCTTTTTTTTTTTTTGGAATTTTATTTTGCCAATTTCACCCCACAAGTTCATATAATTCACGAAAATGCCATCAATTTTTTTTTTTTTGGTTTCGAAAATAACATATTTACTCTCTCACCCTCATCATCTTCAAGTAATTACAAGATTGCCATTGTCATCAATACTCCAACAACCATGAACAACCAATTTTGAAGCTCTTAATGCCTCCAAATTCCATTTACCCTTCTTCTTTCTCTATTCTCATGAACTAAACAACACATTACAACACATATCTCTCACTTTCTCTCC